ACGGGCCTTCACTTCTGGAGTTCCTAACGGCAATCTCTTCTACACTCTAAGAAATTCCTGGGTGTCTACTTACCCGCAAAACACTCGAAAAGCCAACATCTGTGATCTACGAATTCAGCCCAGCGAATGATGAGGCGGAACATCTGTGTAGACCTCAAAATGAAGTCTGCGCTGTGGCATTACGTAATGCAAGCACGACGCGTTGCATTGCGTAATGCCACAGCGCAGACTTCATTTTGAGGTCTAAACGGTTGTTCCGCCTCATCATTCGCTGAGCTGATTTCATAGATCATCTTCAGCTTTAACAGCAGTTAAAGGGGCGGCGCAACAATATTCAAGTGGAATGTTTTTCACTTTACACGAGCTTACTGGCACTGGTAGGACTCGATTTAGTATCTGTCGCTTAGGAAGAACGGTTTATTTTGTGCACATACAGACTCTTTCGCAAAATAACGATCATTTCGTAGCGTGTAAGGCTTTAAATGTGTTAGTCATGTGTTTAGGTTTCATTTCTATTTTCAGTGATTCATTCCGGGTTACTTAGACTTTTTCCTCTTGACTTAAGTTTGTCCGAGAGTTTAGATGTTACGTGTCTTCTCCGTCAATACATAGGGCGTAGCTCACACACCTTGCAAATCACGCCAGTGCCAAGTAAAGAAATATTGTTAGGGTAAATATTGTTGGGGTAAATATTGTTATTTCACTGGCTTTTAGGCTCAGATATTGAGGTAAATATTTACATAGGTCAAACTTCTGATCAGCTGAGCGTCTATGCGAAGTCCCGTTGAAAACTCTCGTAGCACGAGATTCGAGTCTTAATAGCGGCCATACAAACAATATATTACAATTTCTGTTGGTAGCTCCTGACAGACTACTATATTACCTAACTGTAAATAAAAAAGGAAAGGTTTTTTTTTTAGAGAATTGACTTCAAACTTGCAAGTCTTTCTAAATATTCGTTCTTCAGGCAAATGTTCCGCGTTATACGATTAGCGCAGATATTCAAATTATACTCAGAAGAAAATCTTATTGGAGCTTTATGGTGATGTAAAGATCATAAAAATATGTTGATTAGGTCACACAGTACCGCTTGCTGAACTCCGTCAAATATTGTTGCAGAGAGGCGGTTAGACAATAAAAAAAAATTAAACATATTATGACCTAGACGCTTTATTAGCATAACTCGCCGTTTGCATCTTCTTTTATTTAAGGATTTTACAGGTAGTTGCTCAAAATTTGAGAGGTGTTAATTATGAGTTTGCGTATTTTTGTGACTCATTTGTATTACTGAGTGACAAGTGAACAAAAACCAAAATGTAAGCTTTTATAGCCGCCATACAAACAAAATATTACAATTTCTGTTTATTTTACTTTATAAAGCACTGCAATAGGTAGCTAGAGGAAACAAATCACCGCAAAAAAGGTAGGCTTTTTAGAAAATCGACCCCCAATTCGCAAAAGTTTTGAAATAGTCTGCTTTACGAAAAAATACAGTCCTTCCTCTTTCGCACACAACATCAGATCTGTTATAATTAGAAGGAGTATACTCTAAGCCTTTTGAAAATACTAGATATGTTAAGACACCTCATATAGGTCACACGGAAGAGCTGGTAAACATTCACAAATATCGTCCAAAAACGTCATATTGACACATTTTCTAAAATATATTTCATATAAATAATCACGTTAAAATGATTTATCAGAGAATAAGTGTGTTCACAGGTGTCTATTAAAAATAAGAGGCGCCAATTTTGAATTAGTGTATTTTTGGAAATAAGTTGATTTACTGACAAAACAGTCAAACAAGATAAGATTTTAAGCTCTTATAGCTACCATACAAACAAAATATTACATTTTCTATTTATATTACCTTATAAAGCGCTGCATAGATAGCTAGAGAAAAAGAACGAGCCAAATAAAAGGTAACTTTTTTTTAGAAAATCGATCTCCAATTTGCCAATATCTTGAAATAGTCCTTGATTTACGAGGATACACTGCCCTTCCCCTTTTAAACACAACGTTAAATTTGTTATCAATAGAAAGAGTATACTCTTAGCTTTCTGCAAATACTAAATATGTTACGATACCTCAAATGGGTCACACGGAAGAACTGGTCAAACTTTGACAAATTAAGTCCAAGGGATACACTTTGACAATATTTAAAACAAATGTAAAAATAAATAATCAGAATAAAAGTATTGACCATAAATAATCCCTATTCTGCGAGTGACCCAAAAATGTTACATGGCACTACCAAAAAAGGGCGAAAAGTAGAAAGGAGTGAAACATGCGGTTTGCGCCCTCCTTCATCTGAGAAATGCCCCTAAAACCGATCTTTTTTTCGTCAAAATTAAAAATTCGACCCCAAATTTGTGCCAGAGTTGATGAAACCACTCATATATATAGACTGTTCCATTAGGGTCATAGCAGAGTGGGTAATAGACAGAGAAAATCCCTCTCCTCTCATTCCGCACATCGTCTGCTCCGCCGAGTGGGCTGTACCTAGCATCCGGCTGGCGTACAAACTCTGTTTATAGTCGCGTCATTTTGGAAATGTCAAGCCCAGATGCTCAGATTTTGGCATGCCAGTTATTGTGAAATACTATGCTAGATAACAATACTAACAGGGTCCAATTGCGCTGTTATCTGCGTGCAAATAAAAAAAAAGGGGGGGGGGGGGAACTGTCAGATTGGCCGGTCTCTCCGGCGAAAAGTAAATCCGGTTGCTGTACCCTTTGTACTATATAAAGTTCGTACTGGTGTAGGCCTTTAGCGACCATGAGTGGAAGTCTGAAATAATAAAGAAAAATGTGCTCTCCTGCCGCAATACACGCAGTAATTGAGGGTATAGTACTGCCGGCTGACTCAACTGCTATTTATGTAACGGAAAAAAGATACGCTAGTTGATCATTTACCGAAATAGAACAACAGAGAGCTATAGGCTGAATTTGGAGTAGCGATAACTATTCTAGGAACGCGAACCACTTCACAACGGCAGCCACGAGCGAGAGTTCGATGTTCGGTACAGCCCGCCGATACAGCCCAAAGATGGAGAATGGCAACCTCCCGGTTTGTCGTCTGCTAGCGGAGTCGGGCGCGTGCCCTCTCTCTCGTTTTACCCCGCCGATTCCGATGAATTTCCCGGATGTATGGAGAGGGCGCTGCTGCCGAACAAAATGGTGCCGCCCAGACAGAGCTAAATGGAATGGTCCATAGCAATTAGGTGATGGGGAACCTTTCGCTGTCTAAGCATTCACGGCGTCCAATTTGTTATTTTGTTTTCTCAAACATTACATTCGCTTCAGTGGCAGGCAATGAAACTATATATTGCTACCGGCTGCCACGTGAAGACATCATGCTTCTCTTGATGTCTAAAGACGATTGGCGTGTCGGCGACTGTCATCGACATCGTTCGCTTTTCTCGCGCCACGGGTTGTGTACGTTCAAAAGGAAACGGTGGAGTAACCGAGACTCAACAGATACGTGCAGAAAAGCGACCTGAAGGTGAACACTGCATTGTTTCTTCTATCTTAGCCAAACACACGAACGATATGGGCTGTCAATACGATAAACGGAGCCTGTGATACGGTACGTGCGCCTTATGTATTTACGCCATCGGCAGCAGAATAGTCCTTAGTGCGATCAGAAATATTCCTTTACGACTATAATCTCAGAGAGAACATCTTGAACATCCTGAATTGCTTTTACACTGTAGAACAGAAATCAAAAGAATTACGGACGTGTCACGCTCCTCGTAATAAGATAATGGTCGAAAGTATGCAATTGTTTCGTAGCCCCACGGCTACGAAACAATTGAATAAGGCCAAAAAAAAAAGTTAAGTTTAACTGGCTTGCTGAAGTCATCCTTTGACTAGGAGCTGGTTGATACCCTAGCTGTATCCACAACGCTCCAAGTGACGTGGTAGTGCTACATAGAGACAATTTGTTAGAGATATTTATGTCACGTGTACTACTTTCAATAGGAACAATTAACTATTACTTTACTGATCAAGGAAAAAAACCTAAGAGACAGTAGTAATTCTTAAAGTTCTGTTTAATAATCTCTTCATGACCGTAATACGTAACTTATGTTGTATTCATTATACATGTATATATAATAAAAAAAATAAACGCTCGCGTATTTAAGTTCATCTTTGAGCGACTGAAGCCTTAATCAAAGTGCAACCTATTATTTTGCAAAATATTCAGCCCCGCGGCTAAATGCTAGAATAGATGAAAAAAACAAACAAAACATTGCAAAATATTGCATTACTGGTGCTTCCCGTAGCAGTCGATAGGAGTAGCGCGCGCTGCTTGATCGCTTATACTATGAGTCCCCTCTGTGGTCCAGTATCGACGATGGGAAAAGCTTATGCATTCCTTAGACTCATTTTGCGAATGAAGAAACGGAAGGTGGCGTCTGTAATCCGAAGCTGACGCAGCCGCAAAATAAAAAAAAAAAAAAAAAAAAAAAAAAAAACACGCAGTCAACAGGGCAAGTGTACGCGATCCGCCTGTGCAGATCGGACGAGGAAGGTCCATAAATAGTAGTGATGAAAGAGGGAGCGTCTACGGCACGCAGCCGCGAATTCCGCTTCTCTGGCATTATTCGCCACGCAGGTACGTTCGCCGGGGGAGTTAGCCAGACCGGCTCCAAAACAAAACATTGCCTCATGGCTCGGTTGGCAAGTGCGCCTCATCAGAAAGTCGCTATCCTTGAGCAGTGAACGTTGCCTCGCGTGGCCAAAGGAAACAAGAAAAAAGAAACTATCAGCGCTCTAAGCGGGGGCCTTCTTGCGTCATTTCCGCTTCCGCCACCTCCGAAGGTTAAACGTAATGTCTGTCCGGAAGCACAGAGAGACAAGCGGCTGCTGGAGGGAAATCTCCAGATCCACCGGCGTTCTGGCGATTCAGTAGATAGACTCGACAATTGCTCGATTGTAAAGAAAGTCGCATTCGCGACGTCGCCCTAAACGCCTCTTTCGGCTCACGTAACGCAGACCTCCAGCTACCATGGCTACGACAGTCGTCCGTCAGACTACGACGGTAACATCGTCCAGCAGTTCGTCACCCGTTGTCGTCAGCTTCAACACGTCCTTCCTTACGAGCATCGGCGGCCTCTTCACGGTTCTCGAACTGGTGAGTTTGCTTACGAAACTATATATACATATATATATATATCATGACCAGCGCCGTGCGAGGTACTGGAGCGGACTTGTATAGCCATAGGGCGTGGCCTTCCGGCAGTCTAGAATTGCATAGTATGTAGGTGCTTTGGTCCGAAAGCGTGCAGTTTGGTTGCGATATACCTCCCCGTTACTCTAACCTTGACTGAACTTATCAACCCTAAGAGGCCTTAAGATCGCATAGCCTAAAATAAACTCTGGGATTTGTTTTGCTATAGAAAAATACCTTAATGAACCTGCAACTTCTTTCTTTAGCGAAGATGTATTATATTTGCTACCGCTTAGTTTCTTAGTGCGCGATCAACTAAGATATATCAGAAAATTGAGTACTCAAGCTCTTGAAAGATAGTTGACCCAAACGGGTAAAACAGCGGTCATGATCCGAAAAGATAACTAAGAGCAAAGATCGGTAAACCCGAGACGATCTTTATAGTCCCCCATCCCCAAGAATGTGAATATAAATGTTCTTCCTTCTTGCACGTGTCCCCGTATTTAATTGTCACGGTGTAATTATGAACCCTTTAATTAGAGATTACAGAATGTTGCATTGTATAAAATTAATTTGTCTATCTCTAATGCATGATGCATGTTTTGATTCACCCCTGAAAGAGCGCAGTTAGAGTGTTGATTCTCTCGTTGTTTTGATGTTTTGTTCATTGCTGATTGTTTTTATGATTTGATTGCTAGATGTTGCTTGATGTACTTTTAAGAGAGGGTCTGTTAGGCTCTTTCCAAAACTCCATCGAGCAACATTGGCAGTCTCCACTGTTTGGACACGAAGCGTGTGATTGGATCCGAGTCGTCGGCGAACTCTGACGCGGCGCTCGTTTCTAATACGAGCAGAGCCGGGTACACGCCCAACGCCGACGCGGGCCTCGTGTCCAATACATGCTCAGAGTATATGTGAGCCAGCAATGGCGGACAGGCATTGGCCCGGACTTCTGAAAAGGGTGTATTGAAAGTGTTACTTGTTAACCTTGCAGGGACTATTATTTGTTACTCACTAAGGTTTATACAAAGCCAGATCTCGTCATTCGCGCGGATAATGAACGCACAAAATGCCATAGATCATTTGCAATTCACCTATATCGCAGTTCTCACCGCTAGTGTGGTGGGTCAGTGTTTTAGACATGGAGAATTGCAGCTATCTCTCCTAACTCCTATTGTTTTATTTCCCGGACGTAAGGGACGGATAACGTGAGCATTCATTTCCCACGGTAACCAATGTGCATAAACGCGCATGTAGTGCTCAATGAAACAAAATGGACAAGCGTAGCCCATGGCCTCGCTTCAGTAACCGCGTCAGTAAGTCACTTGAGGAGCGTATGCAGTTACTCAGACGTACACAGCCAGCATACGCAGCCACTCTAGCCTAGAGTAGCATAATGGCCATTTGATTTGTAGGGCAATCGCGGTCTATACTTCGTTTCACCTTACGTCCAGACGCAACCGTCGGCGTATACGGGCTATCGGACCAATCAGACAGCGTCGAAAGCGCAGCATCGTTGCGTGACGTTGGTCATGTTTCTGTACGTGTTCTATCATCGCTGAACCCATCATGAACAGAAAAGACCTAGTGACTTGCGCTTTTGACAAGGCTTGATTGGTCCCATTACTGCATAGCGTCGGCTGCGTCTGGATTTAAGCTGAAGCGAAGTGTCACTGTATCTGCGCGGGGCCACGTGCCCTACTGGTCCATTTCGTTTCATAGAGCACCGTACATTTCTTTGAGCTACAGCTATAGGCTGGTTAGTGTGTCAATATGAAAATCATGAGTATTATGTTTACGTTTCTACGTTCCTGATCCTTCGTGAGATGTTGCCATAACTCAGGTTTCGTAGAAAGCACAGGGAGTGCCTAAGCTTGATTTCATCGCTTTGTGATTGTATACTTTTGTATTTTATGACCGGTTGTTTAAAGACGACGGGAATTGACTGCAAAGAAATAATAATAAGGTTCAACAGTGCCTGGGATTCGGCTATTTGATTTGTCGTTCATTGACTGAACTGTGCTATATAGACCAACAAGAGATGGCAGTAGAGTTTGTGACGTCAGTACGACGTTCTCACGTCAGGCTTGCGTATTCGTGTTAGCTCATTGCGGAGGAACGGTGGCTGGCGGTAATGAGTGGGTGGCAGGTGCTTCTGGAGCATTCTAAACTTCTCGAAGTCGTGTTTAGAATTCTTGGAATTCTAAACACGACTGCCGACTCGCGTTAATATTGTCATAGAGAGGCAGTGAAATATCGTTAAAATTTGTTTTTGCTGTATTTCTAAGGCATATTTTCTCTCTTGTGTCTGCTATGTAAATATTGCCAGTGATTTTCCAAATATTCTATAGCTATTTTATTAACTATTTTGTGCTTATTCTGATCTGCATGTGTGTGTGTGGGAGTACAGACCAACTCTAGCCTTATTTTTGGTGTTTTTTTTTTGCCTGTACCCCCGATATCTTGTAAAGTAGATGTCAAATAAATTTGATTTGATTTAATTTGATCTTCCCTATTCTAGGTTCTTGGGATCATCGTCTTCAGCTTGATGCACAGATATGGCGGTGTTTTACATCCGAGTGGTTTTTTCTTACTGCTCATATCGTTCGCCTATTGGTTGATGTGCTTCTATTTTCTGCTCTCGGCAATGCTCTCCATCACAGGATCGCTGCTGCCTTCGACATTTTTTGTAAGTACAAGTTTTTACTCCCATTGGACATAAAGTAGGAAATTCAAAATACCCTGCTCGCGGTTTTCTTCGACCGGAGCGGAAATCTGGATTGATCTCGCGATATCTTTACCCTACTCTAGTGTGGGCAGCGAGTCCCATAGGGCATTTCAGGATTGCGAATGACGAATTTCGAAATGTTCGCTTCCCAAACAGGGACGACATACAGCTCCTACACTCTGCTGGGCTCCTTGTTTTGACCTAACTGTAGTCGTGACCCATCATACTGGCCAAATTTGTTCCAGCTGATATTGAAGATGAGCTATCTCACTTAACACTGCCTCTGCTGGATGGATCTGTAATGTCTGTAGGCAATGGAAGCACACTTTACCATAACGTATAGACCATTCCATTCAGCGCTCTCAGGGCGACGGCATTTTGTTAGACCGCAGCGCCCTCTCTACACATCCGGGAAGTTCAGCAGGTTCGGCGGGGTAAAACAAGAGAGGGGGCACGCGCCCGACTCTGCTAGCAGACGACAAACCGAAAGGTTGCCGTTCTCCATCTTTGGGCTGTACCGGCGGGCTGTACCGAACATCGAACTCTCGCTTGTGGCTGCCGTTATGAAGTGGTTCGCGTTCTTAGAATATTTATGACTAGTCCAAAATCAGGCTTTAGCGCTCTGTGGTTTTATTTCAGTAAATAATCAACTAGCGTATCTTCCTTCCGTTACTTTAATAGCAGTGGAGTCAGCCGGCACCTCAACCACTGCGTCTATTGCGCGTGGAGAGCACGTTTGTATACATTATTTCAGACTTCCACTCATTGTCGCTAAAGGCGCTACACCAGTACGAACTTCGTATAGTAAAATAGCTACAGCAACCGGATTTATTTTTCGCCGGAGCGGCCGGCCATTATGACACACCTGCCTCATTTCTTTTTTTTTTTTTTAATTATTTGCACGCCGGTAACAGCGCAATTAGACCCGGTTAGTTATTTTATCGAGCATAGCATTACACGATAACTTGCATGTTAAAATCCGCGCATCTGCGCTTGGAATTTCCAAAATGACGCGATTTTAAACCGAGTTTGAACGCCAGCCGGATGTTAGGTACAGCCCACTCGGCGGAGCAAACGACGCGTGGGGTGAGAGGGGGAGGACATTTTTTCTCTCTCCGCTCTTCCTAGTGGAACGGTCTATTGGACTAGAGCTTAGCCGAAAATATTTAAAAAATGAGAAGATCATGAAATGATGTAGTATATTTAAAGCAGCCGCATGCGCGTCAACGGCTCGTTGCTTGCTTCAGCCCTCCACCGCGCTTGCCGGCAGCAATTTACCGGGTCTGTCGGAATTGGAGCTCCGAATCCTCAATAGAAATGCGGAGCTAGGGGTAGCACCGCACGAGGACACTCCAGCGTCCGGAGCGCGCTGGCGAAGCATCTCCGCCCCAACTGGACGATGCTCAAGTTCCGGCAAAGTTCCGGGTCGCTATTTGCGAAGTGTGCCGCCGGCGTCGTGCGTCGTCGGCTAGGATCCGCGGGGGTGGCTGCGCCGGCCTGCGCCGCCTCTTCCACCACTCGGTGGCGGGTATGTTGACAGGTCATCGCGCGTTGTTTCTCGTTTACGTACTTTCTAAACTGCATTTGCTTCTTTTCTCATCTAAAATACTGGACAAAAACTATCGTTATGAATAACTGAAACGGTTCGCGCCACTTACATTTTGTATTTCGACAAAAAAAAATTAAAACAAAAAAGCTTTTAGCGGCTCTGACCAGTCGTAAGGCAGGAGCTGACCGGTACCGACGACGTCACGAATTCCTCACATGCCTCGCGCGTTCTGCACCACGGGGGAATCCCCGTAGGAGGGGAAGGTTTCCGCGTCGTCCGGTTAAAATATGACGCACTGATATTTAGGGACTCTCTCTGTGCCCGCTGGCTTGCCCGAACCACAAGTGATATGGAAACAGCAAAAAACGTAGACGCTTAAATAGGAATGCAGGGCAACACCGCTTCATTTTTGTTTAAAAAAAAAACAAAAAACAAAAAAACAACAATGCAGTCCTTTTCAGTATCACCTAAGAAGACCACACGTCAAATATTACGACCTATGTATGACTAAGTGTTTCTTAAATGGTTCGGAAAACTTCGCAACGCGCCAAGTGGCCGAAATCGGCTGACTCTAGCGGGAGAATTGAGGCGCAACCAACAGCGCAGTCAAGGCTACGGCGTTGGCGTAGCCTACATTGAGCTAAACGTCTTCACCATTGCTCCTTTTTGTTTGCTTTTACTTGTCCGGGCAAGCGTCAAGGGTGACGTCAGCAACGTTTCCTCTCGGCGTTCAGCTGTGTCCACGTGATTGGCGTAACGCGTCTGGGCACAGCGCGCTTCTTGGGAGCCATCCGGCCATCCCGCCGACCGCCGTCTCCCGCGTCACAACCGCCGTCGTCGTCTCACCCTTTGTGATTATTGACTCTCGGAGTTTCGTCCACACTACGTGCGCAGAACGATGCCGGAGTTGTGCAGACGTCATCGAATGTCGTAGAAACCAAAACGTGGTGAAGAGTGCGGTGCAGACGACACTTGCGCCTGGCACACGCCCGACACAACGGTGACCCGCTGGACCGCCCCAATCCCGCCCATCGTTGCTTAGAGGATCACGTGACACCTCGTAGCATGTGATAGCCATGTCTTGGGACGCCCGAAATCAATGTTGCCAGGCGGAGCCGAAGTTTAGGTTTCGATTTCAGCTCGTGTTTAAAGTAAGATTTACTAATATATATCCCATTTTTCGCTCAATAAATGACGTAGCGCCTTTTATTGATGCTTTTTAATATGGAATCACTCAGTATCCTGATATTTTCGGAATTGAGCGGAGTTGCCCTTTAGAGGTGCCTGTGGAGGTTTCTGAGATTGTCTTAATCACACAGCCCCGTTTTCTTACGTCTAACGTAAGAAAACGAGGATGTGTGAAGGGGCCCTTACAGCAGGTAACGTCGAAAGTGATCGAGACATCTGTGCTTTCTATAAAGCGTCGAAACCAGCTGAAGGAATAGACTTGCACGCGACATTCGAGGCACGGAGGTTCCAGTGACTTATAACTAGGGTTCCGTGATTTCGGATAAATCCGAAAAAAAAAAAAATTCGAAAAACACTTGCCGGTAACTTTACCGTCGTGTCTTATTGATTGGACCGTGCCGACGCTAGGATGATTTTCTATCTAATAATGTTCAAGGTATTTTTTTTCCTTGCCTTGAAACTGTCCAGTAATGAGATTCTTAACGAGAATGAAAGCCTTTTAGAAGTACTGCACGATCGTTCATAATTTGATCAAGGCATCCATAACGGAGATGTGCATAATAAAGAGACATCACTGTAACAGAAAGGCAGCCTATCATCTGAGACTGCTATGCATTAGGAACAATGAGCTAGTCTCATCAATACACTGAAACCACCGGACATATCCTTCACACATTCCAGTACTGCTCTTACAAACGGGCTTCCAGATGAGTAAAACAAACATCCTGGGCCGATTGACTTCTTTGAAGCACCAATCTTAGCACCCAGGCACTGGCCATGCCTGATTTGTCGGAAACCTGAAATCGTAAATAGCATTCTCACATGTTAATATTTCATTGACTGGGGCAAGGGGGGCCTTTTCTCGAAGCCCTGGTCACACCATGTGCGCTTGTGACTTGAAATTGCTTCGTATACACAAACCTGAACAGTACGGTCGCACCTTTCAGTGGGAACTTGCCAAGAAAAAAACAGATAAGCGACGCCATACATCCTTAAGTTGTCAGTTACTATACTTTTGTAAACAGGACTGGGGAAGAAGGGGGGGGGGGGGGGAGACTTAGAACTCAAGGGGAAGCACAACGTGAGTAATTTTGAAGTTTACTTACCATGCCTAGGATGCTCTTCTTGCCGCATGCAGTCAACCCTCGTAGCCACCAAGCCCATAGCCACCAAGCCCGTAGCCACCAAGCCCGTAGCCACCAAACCGTAACCACCAAGACCGCAACCACCAAGACCGTAGCCACCGAGACCGTAGCCACCAAGACCATAGCCACCAAGGCCGTAGCCGCCAAGGCCATAACCCCCAAGGTCGTAGCCACCAGAACCGAAGCCTCCAAATCCGCCCCTGTATGCGCCCCCCAAACCAGTGTATGCTACGACAGCACCTCCACTGCTAACTTTATTAACGTGGTGGACGCTCCTGACCAGGAAGGCTGGTCCGGCCACTACTTTTGACAGTCCAGCACCGCCACCTCCGTTGAGAAGAACAATGCTGCTTCCTAATCCAACTCCGTTGACTCCAACTGCGCCGTATGATCCGTATGGTCCATAGCCCCCTCCCTCCATAGCCAACTAATCCGCCAGCGAAAGCGGTAACCAGGAGGGAGCAAAAACAGAAGCTTGAGATCTGCAGCAGGACAGAAGCAGGATAGGCTTGAAATCAATTTTTATCTTTGTCAATCTAGTAAAGCGTTGCAATCTGACAATAATTTCATCTTTAGACTGGTTTATATGATAATGCAAGCCCATACTGTATGTTAGCGGATGAATATCTGTAAAGATCACGTCTGTTTTCAACATTCGTTGCATGTGACTCAAGGACATCATTTTCAACGCCATTCGAGGTAATAGAAGAACTACCTCATGACTATGTGAATTACAGAAAAATATAAACAGAGACATTGTAACTCTGGAGCGTGGGAAGATATGGCACAAGCTCGAACACGAAGATCCAGGCACCATCGACATCTGTGCTCTACTCGTGGTTCTACATAAGGTTGAGGCTTGTAAAATCAAATTTATCTTCGTTACGAACTTTGTGTTTGCGTTTGGTTTTGAGGTCCGTGTTGTTTCTGACCCGTTTCTTTTCAAGTTCCTGCATTACAATTTTTGTGCTAACCCAGCTCGTCGTCACAATTCAATTAACTATATTACTATCTTTTTTTCTCGATATCAACCCCATTTTTAAGCCTTCCTCTGGGATCCTCCGGCTGAGACAGTAGCC